CCTCGGAATCGGTTCCTCGGAGACAACCCCTTCCTCGGAATCGGTGGAGTGTCGACTTTTTTATCACAGTTTTATGCATACTTGTGGAAAAGATGGCCGGCCCGCGGGCCGGGCTGGGCCATGTCGGGCCGGGCCATGGCCGGGCTGAGATTTTTCTGAAAACGGGCCGGCCCGCTTTTTGAAAAATTTGAAATTTTAGAGCGAATCATCATTTTTCAAGATGGTTTTTCTTCTTAGTGAATGAAAATCCACACTAGAGGCCGATACTGTCGACAAAAACTGTTTTGAAGTCGTAATTAGAAAAAAAGTTCCATCCTTGCCTTAATGAAGTTTGATTTTTTTGCTAAAAATTCAATTAAATTGACTTTTTCGCATGGTTGTATGCATTTGGATTAATATTTGTTCCATTATAAATATTTTGGCACATTCGAAAAATAAAATTTTCGAAAAGGTGTCCTAGGCGGGCCGAAAGTTTTGAGGTAAGCGGGCCGGCCCGGCCATCCACATGTATGGTGATAAAATTTGAACGACCGCTAAAAATTGTTGACAACGATACTCCGCAATAACGCACTGCGCGTTTTTTAGCGTATTTTACATAATCTTGATTTTTTTTCTTGCATTTTTCTTGTAATAATGAGGTTATTCAGGAGTATTTTGCAAGCAGAAACTTAATTTTCTCTCCGTAATATTTCAAAATATAATCACTGATATGACCCAGATTCTCATGATTCTAAATATTGATTCTTGTCTTTATTGAAACTGCAATTTCCAGTTTTTGTGTTCTGAAATCAGAAACATTGCTTAATTTCGTTTTTTTCAGATCATGGCTGCACGTAAACTAATTGCTCGTATCAATCCATCTAACAGTGCACTGTTCGTCTGTGATCTTCAAGAAAAGTTTGCGTAAGTTCTTCGTTCACTGCGTGAATTTCATTAAACTAACAATTTTCCAGGTCAAACATCAAATTCTTCCCTGAGATAATCACAACTTCTCGAAGATTGATTGATGCCGCCAGAATCTTGAGCATTCCAACTGTGGTCACAGAGCAATATCCAAAGGGACTGGGCCATACAGTTCCACTTCTCAAGGAAGGTCTTGCTGAGAACACTCCGATTTTCGACAAGACAAAGGTAAGGTATTATAACTCCGTACAACTTTTTCAAAATTCATAATTCGCAATTTAGTTCTCCATGTGTATTCCTTCGACTGAAGATGTTTTGAAGAACGTCCAGAATGTCATCCTGGTTGGAATCGAAGCCCATGTATGTGTTCTTCAGACGACTTATGATCTTCTGGAGCGTGGCCATAATGTTCATGTTGTCGTAGATGCTGTCAGCAGTCGTAGTCATACCGATCGCCACTTCGCTTTCAAGCAAATGGAGCAAGCAGGGGCAATCCTGACTACTTCTGAATGTGCTATTCTCGGACTTGTTGGAGGATCGGATCATCCAAAGTTCAAGGAAGTTCAAAAGCTGATCATGACTTCAGCCCCTGACACCGGCCTTGTCCCGTTGTCGAAGCTCTAAATTGTTTCCGTTTACGGCTTTCTATGTCCGTGTAGATTTGTGTTTAGTACCTCCATGTGTAATTACGGCATTTAACCGGTTTTCGTTTTCACTCCCATAAATTATGACGGTAATTCGACTCTTTTCGCTAAGCGGTTTTTTACATGGGTCTACTGCCACCGTCTGACCACCACATCATGTTTCAAAAGTGTCGGTAAACATTCGGAAATTCGCGGAAACGGAATGAGCTTTGAAATTTCAAGTGGTTTAAGGATAGAGCCGCCCGTTGACCTCCATTGTTTGTAGTTTGCAAAAATGATGCAGGTGCAAAGAAACTTTCAGTTTTTTTTTCAAAAAGTCAGGTTTGTACAGCACACAAGCCACCACGTGGCAAAAAAGGCAGGGCAACAAATAAAATGGAAGCAGGAGACAAAGGGGATCCGATCTGTTGTGACAAACAAATGATGATGGTATTCAAGAGGGGAGGTGGATTATGATAAGAAGCAAGTACGGAATCGAGACGAGAAAGATATACCCAAATATTCAAACAGACAGACAAATGATTTCCTGATTCGAGGAACGTGTTTTCTAAGTGGAACGACGGCAAAATATGGGTTGGTCAGCACAAAGCAAAGTGAATATAGTGTGTGGGAAGTTGTAATTGGAAGAGAGTAGAAAATAGGAGAAAAAATGAAATTGAACCCGCATTGAGCAATACAAATTGTGTGTGTGGTCAGGAATCATGGTGGGAATCTAGGGGAAATTAAAACGGGGAAAATCTAATCGATCGTTTTCTGAATATGAAAAACAACTGATCGTAAGGAACGAGTGTCGAATGGTAAGGTGGGAAGAAGAAGAAGCAATCGAGGTAAAAGTGTTCGTTTAGAGATGGAAAACGAGCTAAGATTGAAGTTTCTAATGAAAACTTGAAATTATAAATACGAAGAAGATTATTTACATCATTTTCAGTCTTAAAGACTTTTCAGATAAATTCGTTCAGAAGGCTAGACGTTGATCTGCCAATCGGTTGTGTGGTTTGATGCTTCCGTAATAACGAAGAAGGAAGTTCCTTATCTGAAACATTTTAAAATGAGTTTTGATTTAAGCTCATCTGTAATTACTCACCTGCCGTCTTGAAAATTGACCTCCTGAATGACATGTTGGACACAAAAACGGAGCTGGGAATTGCATCTTGGTGAACTGTGGATCTTCTGTAGTATCACCATGTAGACGGTTGTTGACAATATTGTGAGCTCTCCATAAATATGTCATCATATCGTGTGGATGACGTACTCGCCGTTCGTTCAGTGGAAACAGCGTCGTCGTCATGTGCATGAAGTGGTTACGGCAATGCTCACATCCGAAGAAGCTCTTCACCCATCCTTGTATTGTGCTCAATGGCTTCATTGGGTTTACAAAGTCGTCTTTGATGGTATCGATATAAGTGTGGACAGTGAGAGCATGGAACGTTGTCCAGAGACCACAAGTGTATCCACGATACTGGGGCGACGATCCCTTACAGTGCTGCCACGTGGAGTTGACTGGGAATGGACTGGCATAGACTCTCTCAACGCTCTCGAATTGACGACGGTATTCATCAGCGGTCACTGATCCGATTGATTTACGACCTTCCAGGAACTCACGCATATGGGTGAACACAAGGCGAGCTCGTTCGGAGTTACGGAGAATCTATAACAAACTTGAGATTCAAAAAATCGATATTAATTAATCTCACCACTGAGGTAGTTCTTTTCGCCCTCATTCTTCTGACGTCGTTTTGGAAAGATAGTACAGGGAAGTGCTGTAAACATAAATTTGTTGGAAAGATTATTGTATGAAAAAAGAACTTACATTGGATAGGAGAGTCATGAATTCGTGTAAATTGGTGAAGTTGTCACCTCGAATTGATCCTGGAACTCGGGTCACCTCATCAAGAAGAGCCATTCGCATAGCTTTGAGCATGTCTGTCTCAGATACATAATACATGTCACGGCACCGTTCTGGATACGAATGACAATCAATCAAAGGTGTTTGGGTAGTGGTGGTTGTTGGTGCATATGTAGTCGTGAGAATTGGTGCTCGTCTTCCCCCTTGCTCCATATCACTTGTGATGGCATCGTCCAGATCCTTCACAGTTTGATTGTTGTATCTCTGCATATAAAGCGCTTGCTGATGGTCTCTTCTGAACAGTGCAACAGTTGGGAAGTTACGAATGTTGAGCATTTGAACAAGTGGAGAATTCGAGAGAGCACGGCGGGCTCCAAGAATATGATTTCGGGAAATAAGATCCATCACGAATTGAGCACCAACTCCATCATATTCCTCGAAGAGAATCGCCATATAATTGGCTTTTGGTGGAACTCCATCCCAAAGTTGTCCATAAGTGGTACGGCTATCGACGGCAATGTGTCCAAGGTTTGGCCAATCGGGATATCTGGAAACTGGCTTATTCGGTTTTTAACATATGGAATTCCAAATTATACCTGTTGAACATATACTCGTTGCTAACTGTGCGTAGCAAAGTGTCTCGAATCTGTTCAGCAGAGTGTGGCGTCTCAAACAGTTTTCCTTGAGTCGCCGTAGTTGCCGTTCTAGCGAAGTACTGAAAATGCATCCATTAAATTCAATTCTCAGATTCCCCTTTACCAAGTCTTTCATGTCTTTATTTGTTTCAAAGTGAGAACAACCTTCGGTGCTCTCTCAAAAAAAAGAGAACAAGCGCGCAGGACACAATTGTGATGCCTCTCGGATTTCATCAAAAAACGTCTTTCGATCTTCTTCAAGAGGGCGATTCACGTCAATCCGGTGGTGAGAAAACAAATAATCAATTGCGGGTCAACATTGAAATGAACAGTGCTTTCCCCCTCCTCTTTAGTCGAAAAACCCATCCGGCGTTTTTTTTAGACTCGTATGATATGAGGGATCTCGAGAAAAAGACACAGGTTGTATGTGAGGGGAAAGTGACAATGATCTTTGTTGGAATCTTAAAGGAGGCGAGACAGCAAAAATTTCGGGGGACGAAATCGCGCCGCGCTTATGTAGACCATCGGTCGTCAGGCGCCTTCGCGCCCCCTATAGCTCAGCCGGTAGCGGCGCTGTACCCCTGAGCTGCCTGTCATGAGTTCAACCCCTCATGGGGGTTCTCTATGCAAATTGTCAGGAAAACTTATTTTTTTGGTGTCTGGCCTCCTTTAAAGGAGGCCAGACATGAAAATTTTCAAAATTCTAGTTTTTCGATATATGACATAGTACAGTCAGAAAAGAACAATGGACACCAAACCATAACTCCTTGTTACTGTACAAGCAAGAACGCGCCCGTTCTTCGAAGCGGCGCCAACTCCTCGTTTCATAATCGTTTTTGCGGCAGAAGACGACAAGCGCCTTGTGGTATTTTGCTTTTTATTTGCAGAAAAATTGGAAAAATGGCCGGGAGACAAATGTCGGAAGCTAGAAGTAGAAGTTTTGGTTTATTCTGGAGGTAGCATTGCTACTGTACTTTTAAAAGGTAAACAGCGTTCAGAAAGTCCGAATTTCTAAACCAATTTTTACAGGGACCCAGAAAACCTGAATTGTTCTGGTACGTCGAGTACAATCCAGAAAAAAAGAATTTAGGAAAGTGGAAGAAGGAAGAGCTGGAATCAACGGTGAGTAGAATTGGAGAAATCCGAAAGAAAACTTCAAATTTCAGATGATCGGGAATTCGGAATGATCGGGAATTCGGTGTTGATCGGGAATTCGGAATTGTCAAAGTGGAGGATTTAAAAAAGTTCCATTATCTTGTGTCGGAGGTATAGTGAGAAAACTAGTGGGAACTTAAAATCTATAAAAATTATTTCAGTTTCTTCGAAAAAACTATCAACGTCATCATCTGCTCCCAAATCGGTTCGTCACCGACTAAAACAAAAAACGACAAAACGAGAAACTCCGGCGCGATACCGGCAAGTACGATTACATCGGAAGAGAATGACTTTTAATCAATTTTTTGTGTTTTCATTGTTTTTTCTGTAAAATAAATCATTTTTGAGCAGCGGCTAGCTTCCAAATTCGAAAAAATATAGTTCAATTATTGCTCTCGCGACAAGCCAATTGTAGGAGATTTGCTCGCGATAGGGCGAATATTGGCCGTTTGCGGTGGCACTTTCGCGATTGGTCTGTAAATGGCCTGCGGCAGACATGTTCCGATGTACCCATGGCGTCTTTCCGCGAACAATATTTAACCTATTATAGACGCTGAGCGAATCACATGTGTAGTGGGGGGGTGGGGGGGGGGGCGCGCTTGGCTATCAGTCATCGCGGGTTCGATTCCCATCAGTTCGTTTTCGTTTTTCTTTCTGTTTTCATGCGGCGACATCATAGAATGACAGAATAACAAGAAAAAATCGGGAATAATTGCCAAACAGTGAAGAAATCTAGTGTATTCTAAAAAAAAATATATGCTCGTCAAGTAGCGCGCATTGGGTCGCAATTTCACGATTTTCCGTCAGAATACATTATCTCGCTCCAAGGAAACTCCGTAGACTTTCGTGTCTGGCCTCCTTTAAGTGCTAATAGTCGTCTGAGATCTAAAATCAGAAGAGTAGGATGGTTTACACTTTTCAGCCTACATTTTTTCAGTCGAATTTTATGAAACTTCGAAGAGTACCTGACTGGAAAAGATGATTCAAAAATATATCGTTTGCAGCACAAAATATATCGTTTACAACACGCTCTCCCACCGAACAATTCCGAACTGCAAATTAATTTTTGATCTACAGAAAAAAGTTTGGCGCGATCACAATTGCAGGTCTAAAACCATAATTTCAGAATTTTTTATCTGATTTTGTGGAGGTCCAAGATAATTCAAATGATTCTTAAAAAATTAATTAGTGGTTATAGATTCATGTATGGTCGTTTTCCGGAAGAAAAAAATGTCAAAAATGGTCATTATAAAAGTTTTTTACAGAAAAAATATATCTCCTCTTTCAGTTTTTGACATTTCTAGGATTTCTATAGCTCAAAAAAACCGCAATTATTTTCTCTACATTTTCTATGGATGAATTTTTAATTTGTCTGATAAAACTTTTTTATAATTCAAAAACCTCATGAAATTGCACAAAATAGCATTTTTGCGTTGTTTTTTGATAAAAACTTTTAAAATGCCATTTTTGACATTTTTTCTTCCGGAAAACGACCATACATGAATCTATAACCACTAATTAATTTTTTAAGAATCATTTGAATCATCTTGGAACTCCACAAAATCAGATAAAAAATTCTGAAATTATGGTTTTAGACCTGCAACTGTGATCTCACCAAACTTTTTTCTGTAGGTCAAAAATTAATTTGCAGTTCGGAATTGTTCTGTGGGAGAGCGTGTACAGGAATTCTCTCTTACACTTATCAATTGACCTTCTCTGCGCATCTGCGAATCTAATGGTCTTTCTTTCATCCGTTCCCTTCAGAAATCAAAAATCTGAGCACACACATGAAATCGCATTGATATTGTGCGCAGAGGCGAGTCATCATCATCATTATTTCCGAGAACTTCTCGTTTCGTCCGGCTGTGCTTCTCTCCCGCTTTTTCGATTATTATTTATTTACTCAAAAACCAAAACCAAATGCTATCACCACCTTTTTGCTGCTCGAATCGCAGCAGACAGAGAAAAAATCTGAGAGCACCTCGATCTCTCTATTCTAACCGTTTGTGTATATGTGTCGCCCAGTGTAAATATATACCCAAAAAATGACATAACAACCCCCTAAATTATGTTCGAATTCTCAACAGAAGCTCACCTTCATCATGGGGAAATATGTGACACCGTTCTCTCGGCATGCGGCTTGATTAAATGAATCAGCGCAGTTGATGACTGCTACAGTCACAACTGGATACCAGTCACGGACCATGTTGGCAAATTGTCGGAAGTATGGAGCAAATGCTCGACAATGTCCGCACCTGAAAACTTGATTATATGAAAACAAACATGTATGATCTAATGGAATTTACCAGTCAGCATAGAACTCAACGAGGAAAGCGCGGTCCGAAAATACTGTGTCGTTGAATGTCATCTAAATTGATATAAGATGAAATTTGAGATATCAATTGAAATAAATCTTACCTGGTCGAGATGCATGATGGGTTCAAAACCAGGTGTGTAGAGTGTGGGGTTTTGTCCGATTGGGACGTAGTTGAATGTCGACTGTACTGCTTCCACAGTGGTTGGTAGAACTGTGAAAAGTAGTAAGCAGCTGATGGTAGCGGTGGTGGACATCGTCCCGCGCGGACTCCGCATTCTGTAGGATCTTGATTTAACTAGGGGTTACAAAAGGTACTGTATAAATCAAAAAGAGAAAAGTTTGAAATGCGGGTGTGGTCGGAACAGAAGAAAGGGGGTGAGAAGAGTGGATAGAATGGGCAGGTTGAAGAAAAAAAACGCAGTGGGGACACCGATCAAGAGTACGTCGAAAAAGAAAGACTGAGCACCAATAGCAGGCAGTCAGTAGCAGGGGTGAGTACTTGAGAAAATAAACCGACATGTCTACAAATAACTTCTCAAAGCGGGTTATCAATATATCAGTAGCGACTAACTAGTTTCAAGAAACTAATTTTAGATTATTTGTCCAACTTTTCTATCATTTTTTGACTGGAAAAGTAGAAGAGTCTCTTGACATTGTTGCGAGCGTGAGGATAATAAAAACAAAGAGATATAGAGATTCAAAAAACAAGGAACAAAAAAGCATAAACAAGCCGAGGGGGACTGGAAAAAATACCTGAGCAATCCAGCGAGAACAAGAAATATCTAGAGACCGGGGGTAGTTCATCAAGATGAAAAAAAGGGAAGATAGATGAAGAAATCGAGCTCACAACGGCCTTCATGTGACCAGTTTTATGACCTCCCACATCTGGAACCGGCTCAAAAGCTTTATAGGTGTATTTTTTATCTGCATCATCTTCGTACGCCCCCAACACGTCTCTCCAAACTTTTTGGTAGAAATTGAGAGAAAAGATGAGACAAACAACAAAAGAGGGTTCAAAGAATTCTCAAGCTCAATAAAGCTGCTTTTATGGCTTTCAAAAAAAAGCTAGGTGAAAGGTTTTCGATTTCAGTCACCTCTGCTACCTGAGAATGTCTGGTGTGGCGTGAAATCCCCGCAGCTCTTCCCCTAATTAGTGTGAAGAGCAAGGAGGTGCGAGACGCAGATGAGCTTACATGGCGCCACTCCGGTACCCGATCCGCCCATTTCTAATGTTGATTATTTCGGAGAAACAAGGAGAAACAGAGAGAGTGATAGAGGTGCAAAGTGAGAGAAAAGGGGATCAACTGAGGGATTGTATGTGTATGTTGTCTGCGATTTGGCGCCACCACCTCACAAACAGTAGCATCTCCTCAGGTCTACCGACCATCAGACCTCCGGCTCTCTTTTCTCTCATTTTGGGAGAGCCCAGGCGCCTAATCAATCGACTGTTCCTATTTTTTACGAAACTGTCTAATATAAAACCTTTGATTTACCTCTTTTTTGTTTGAAAACTAGGATCTTTGCAATTGGAACTAATTAATGTAGGAGAATAATTGAAATCTGAAAATCGAAATACACAATTTTTTCCATCTGAGCAGTCAGAACACTGATTGTTGGAAACTCTCCATTGGGTGAGTAATGGAAAACCAATCAAGAAATTGTTTAGTTTACAACTTTGGTTTCCTCGATTGTTTGCATTACTACGAATTCACTTTTGCAAAGGAACTTCTGAAATAATGATTGTTTCATATAATGGTCATTCTATGGTTTCGAATTGGGAGTTCTGAGAAGAAGAATAAATTATAGGGAAATGTTAAAATAAATTTTTGGAAGAAAAATAGTAGAGAGAACGAAAGTCGAGAATGAAAAAATTAAGGTACGGAGAGAAAGGAGAAGAATGGAACAATTAATATCTTCGAGCTCAATGACGGCAAAAGAGTGTTGCTCCGAAAAGCATCCGGAGAACAAATCACCCTGGATCACATGATGGGATATATCTACATGCGGTGTTAAACATTCTGAGGAGACCAGTCTGTGTGAATGAGCCGTTGGAGCAACTCCACCCTCATCGTTTTTCGATGCTCAACTGGTAGGTGCTTAATCTTATCGCCGTCTAAGTTATTAGGGAGGCGCCACCGGGCCGCGCCAAATATTTGCGTCTCGTGGAGGTGAAAGGAGAAAGGTCCTCTGGTGGCAAGAGCACACGTTGTGTGTATGTGTGTGAGCATTAAAATAGAAATAAATACACAAGTTTGTCTGATTGCTAAAGAGAAGTAGTACACAAATAGTATGAGAAGAAGGAAACAATTTAACAGAGAAGCAAAGTGAGCAGCTGATGATCTTGATAGTGTGGCGGTTTTTTTCTGAAGAGCCTGAACACACAGTTCTGATAACACATCATTGTGCGGTTCGTCGAACTGCTGATGATCATAGATTGGGATGAGATAGTCTAAAGGAAAAGCTCACAGTTTGCGTTTTTTGGTGCACTTTGTAGTTTGCCGCGGATATCACAAAAGCTTTCCAAGAGAGGGAGTAAGATATGTTACGCACGATGTCATGAAAAAAAATGAAAAGACGATAGGGTATTCTTCTGGTACAAAAAATCAGAGCTTGTGGACGTGGTTCCTACAATGACAACTACAGTAACCTAATATATGTGTATTTACAGGATTTATTTTTATTTTGCGAGTTTTCTGGAGGAGAACAACAAAAAACCGATTTTTAGATTACTGTAGTTGTCGTTGTGGGACCTTCGGGCGGGGTCCCCGGCGGTTCTCTTCTACATCTCCGATTTTTTTACATCAGAATAATACTGCTCAATGAACGAATATTTTAACGTACAAAAAAATCTTGGGATCACTGTAGATACCGTAATCCGAAACTACGAATGGGAAGAAATACAGAGGGGGAGAGAAACGATGGAAACTCCTGATTTTTCACATCTGAATGTCTAAGTCTGATAATTTTAGATGAGCCAGTTACGGTAGGTTAACACCAAAAATCTTCACGTGGCTCTCCAAGTACTGTGTCTTGCTCATTGAATAGTGTGTACTCACTGTTAACCTCGGAGCAGAATGCGAAACTTACAACAGCAAAAAAAACAAGAAAAAACACGTTCAGGAGCACAATACAGGAAAAAGTGCGCGAAAGCCGACAGAGAACAAAAAAAGATTTTCACCCTCGCCCTCCTGTGGTGAATGTTTGTAGAAGAGTTTGCAAAAGGTGGTTGTGGTGTGTTTGTCCGAAAGAAACATGAAAAATCAAAAGGAAAGGGCGTCTTTGTGTGTCGACTCCGCCCATATTCTTTTTTTTCTCTCGTCCGTTGAAAGGGTCATTTGCCCGTTGTGGGTCATGGAATTTAAAATTGAGAAATGGGCGTGGGTGCCTTCTGTGAAAAAGGAAAGAGAGGAAGAATACATTTTGATGATGACTAATCAGAATGAAAACACCTGAATCAGGAAGCGTGGCATTCCGAGAAACGATCGGAAATTCTTCTAGCCCGATTGCCTTCCTATGCTACCATGTGATTCAATTTTATCAGTTTTGTGCATTCCCAGATTTTTTTTCGGTCGTCATCACGTGCGCCCTCTTGATTTATTGAATCTTATCAAAGTGCACTTTTCGGACGATCTCTCAAGGAGAAAGAAGAAAAATTACTTAGCAGCTCTCCAGCAGCTGTTTTCTAGGAAGACAAACAGTGGCGTGAAAAAGTGACGGCGATAATTATAAGGAAGATACAAGTGTGAGATACGGTTGTTTTACCCAACTATCCACTTGAGACAATGCTCTCTTGCTCCGATCGGTCGGGTGTCGAAATATGGTTCGGAGAGAGAAATGAAACTATGGTCTAGGGATCAGAGGTTCAAGGGTTGCAAAAAAGTGCAATTGAAGAAACTTCTAAGGTAACAATTTGAATCAATGAAGATAGATATAACAAGAAAGAACGAGTAGCTACTGGATTCCGATCGAGAATAAAGATCAACTCGAATGAAGTTCAAGGGTGAAGTACTATTAGATCAAGAGCAACTAGCTAGGAAACATGATACGATGGATTCGAACCAACCTAGATACTAACTGACACTACCAACTTTTTCTCGTTTTCTTAAAACCACTTTCCACACCCCTTAACTCCGCCCATTTCGTTTTCACAGAGGTGGGGTACGATTATTTGCCAGAGTGTTTGATCACTGTTTCGTGAACCTTTTGGGGGAACACACAAACGATAGCAAGAAAAGAATATGACCTGAAGCAAGTGATTGAAAAGTAGAATCGAAAATGGACGCTAGGAATCAAGGCATCGAGATGAGAATACGTGTCTCTTCCGTGGTAAAAGGAAGAAATTGAGATTGAGGGAAATCGGAGGAGGTTTGATCAAATGTACCAAACTACTCGAGACACAAAAAAAAATGGGAGAAAGGGGAACGATGAGAACCAGTGCGTGTGAGTGAGAGGTCGCAGTTTGTCAACACAATACACATACAACCTTTTTTACCTCGTCCCGAAGAATAATACAAAAATTGTTTCGAATCTCTTTTTCCACTCGGAAAATGAATGAGAGTAAGACACAGTTGTTGACGAGGCGACGGTTTGAGTCGTCGGTTTGACTGACTGAAAAGTCGAAAAATGAAGTGAGAGGAGAGTAAACGCAGAGAAGCGGTCATTAGACCAGTTTCAAAGGATTTCCCTCCCCATCATTGCTTCTTCTCAAGACGAAACGAAACGAACGCGACACTTTTGAAACAATGACATGTTTTGAAACACTTCTGGAGTCGTGTGGAACCGACCTGAATTGGCACGTAGTTTCGATGACCACTATTTGGTCAGTGGCGAACAGAGTTATCAGTTAGACACTCATCACATGTGATATTTTCATTAATCGAATCGAGTGAAATAAGAGAAGAATGCCACACAACACAATGTGCATAGTCAGCGAAACCTATGATTAGCACATTTATGGACAAGATAGTGTTAGAAATAGAAAGCGAAATGCCAAAGGTGTTGTGTCGGATTGTTCTGATGATCGAATAAAATGATGGATTGCTCTTAATAGGATTATAATCCGGAGTGTTTCAATAGGAACAGTATGTTTCAATCAACTTCTCAAAATTTGCAGCTAGTTCTTTTCAACCATCTGTTTACATTCCAAAAATTGTTCTACACCATATGGTAAATATGACGTGCTTTCTTCTCCGAGCAACCTTAATTAGATCGCTCTTATCACTGTCTTTTTCTGTGTGTCTTCATACTGGGAAAAGCCGACAAGTGGCTGTGAAATGTCAACAATTTCATTCACTCTGCTTCTTCTTTTTTGTCATATTATCCCATAGAGTCGCATCATTCACAGTAGCACACCCCATTTTGCGAATGAACAAGCAGCAGTTCACAAGACAAATATGAACTGAAAAAATGGGGGTAGCCGCCTACGCCTTGTTTGACTTATTGATAACACTAACAGATTACGAACGCTTGGGGAGAGAAAGAAAAACATTTTGTTTGGTGGTTGCCTAGGATCGGAAGAAAAAGAAACACGACAGGTTAGATTTTCGAAATTTTTCGAAAGATTAGTGCTCAAATAAGCTCGGTCAAAATACCTAGGAATAGTCATTATTTTCAGATTTTTAATTTCAGGGAGTCCATCAATTTCGAAAAACAGAAGTACAGTAGTAGAACTCAGAGTAAACTACGTTCAAATCTAGATATTTAGTTTGATAAATTCCAAACTGACGAGTAGGTGTCGAAAGAGGATAAATAGTTTAATTTGGATACAAAGTGTAAGAGTACATAAATAGATAAACCGTACACTGAAGAGGTTTCTGATAGCATACTGTATGCTGAGAATGAGAAGCGAACTTCTATGGATTTTGAACAGCAAACTCGTTGAACGGACAGCGATATCAAGAAAGGAATTTGTGATGAAAACTGATAATCAAGCTAATCTGGTTAAGAACCAGTAGGATGATGGACGAGGCGGATCGTTGTTTTCACTCGAATTAAAAGAATATCCAAGCGTTCTGTAGCTTAAGAAAAAGAACATGAAGCTGAACTTTTTCGATGTAGAAGAAGTACAATCAGATGAAATGAGGAAGAAGACGTCAACGAGTTATGTGAAACGGACAAATGTAACCATAATGGAAAACATCTGAAAACTGCTACCAGAAGGAGAAAGTTGGAAACGAAAAGTTGTGCACTTATTGGACAAAACTGTGTCTTATCAGGAAAAAAAGAATAAAAGGGCAGTAAACAAACCGATGGAAAACGGGGAAAACGAAAACATTTTATAGGCTTGGGTTTGATCGAGGAACCATAACATGAAGCTGAATCGTCAAATTCTTTGACGGTGAGCAATCATTTCTAAACATTTAACTGAAAAGATGGAAACTGACCATCACGCGTCATTCATGGGTGCGGGGGTGGAAAATAGGAGCAGAGGGTCTCGCAGTCAACACAGTAATCTCGAAGAAAACTTGTGAGATGAACTCAGAATGTCGTAGCACGAAGAGGTTAACTCTCCTTCCTACAGATGCTTGAAAACGGCCGGAAAGAACAAAGAAGACAATAATTTACAGAGAATGAAGAATGAAAAAGAGGACGTAATGAATCTTCGTCTCTTCCAGGGAGTAGTGTGGTAAATAACTAAATAACGATGGAGATGGAGATAGCGTCACTGATATTTTTGTTTTGACAACTGGCCAGAAGAAAATATTTTAAATAATTGAAAAAAAATCTTTCGCCAAGGTGCCCGTATTCTGAAGAAGGTGAAAAGTGAAAGAGAGTGTGAATATACTATGAATATATGAATATACGAAAGTGCACTTTGGATCGTCTTTCGTGGATTACACAAAAACTGGAAGAATACGCTCGAAAACGGAGATTTAGTAAAGATAAAAGATGCCATCAAATTCATCCCGATTGAAACTGACGCGCAGTTTGAAAAAAGACAGACATTTTTACCGATTCTTACGACACTAGCATCGCTTTTGTTTTGCTGTTTGTATTTTTCAGCAGCCTTCTTGGATAATTTCCATTAAAAACCAGCGAGAAAATGACTGGAAAGATCTATGAGGGGAGAAGTGAAAAAAACAGGTTCCACAAAAGACAAGAAGTTATCAAGTGTTCCTTTAGAACGAATACGACGGACAGAATGGACGTTTACGATTGTCTCGTCTCTTTTTTCGACTTTTCTGAATTAATGTACAATTATTTGGAAGACGGCATTGATGGAGGTCAGGTGGCAAAAAGTTGAATTGAATTCAAGGAATTGACATATCATTTTTCGAAGGAAAAACTAAAAATAAGTGGTCAAAATAATGTTGTCATATGAAAACTTGTCGAACATCTGATAAACAACACCTTTTTGATGAAATCATGACATAAAAATTTTCTAAACTAGTTTGAAAGTGTGAAACCTAAACAGACATCAAAAGTTGCGATAGAAAACATGAAAAAACAGAGAAAATTTTCGAAAAAAAAAATAAATCAATTCCGACAGGACTCAACGAAGCATGCGCCTTTAATTGAAAGTATTACTGTAGCATTAATGTGAATACAAACGGCAGCAGCCGGCGATCACTTGTCGTAATCCTGACACAAATTGCACTCTGAAATCGGGAGAATATTGAAATGAAAATCTAAAGCAGAACGTTGTAAACATAGGGCCGATATTTTAATTCCATCAATCAAAAATACCGGTTCGCTAGAGTTGATGTTTATTCGATTTATTTTTTAATAAAAAAGGAATGTGTATTTATTTATATCATTCGTTGAAGAAGAAATTTGAACAGCCTGTATTATACTGGTACAAAAAATTGGAGTTGTGGAAGAGAAATACCGGTGACCGTGGCCGAAGGTCCCACAACGACAACTACCGTAATCTTAAAAAAAATTATTTCAGGATTTATGTTCTCGTTTATTGGTTTTCGCCAATTTTTCCGTTATTTTCCCCTAAAAAGTGGAAAAGTTAAACGTTTGATAGCGAAAAATTGACTGAAAACAAAACTCGAGAAGAAACTCGGAAAATAAAAAGTTTTTAGGTTACGGTAGTGGTCGTTGAGGTGCCTTCGGCTTTATTTGATTGGATTTTCCGTGAATACTCTAATAGAAGGCCACCAAATCTGTCAACTTTAAGCCCATATATTTCGATTCCTGTAAGAGATATCAAAAAGTGGTCCACGAACCAAATGTTTATCATCATATCGAAACATTTCTGACAGTTGACCACATTTTGATACTTCTTACAAAAAATGAAATATATGTGCTCGAAGATAACGGTTTCGGTGGTTTTCTATTTTTTCGGTGATCTTCTCTTTTCTTTAAGGTGATGAGATGAGATTGCTTCGAAGGGATACGGTATTTGAAATTTTCTATCCGTTTGATTGAGCCATTATCTTCCTTCGATGTTTAAGAACTTTTAATTTTTTAAATCTTCATTTTCATTTTTCAGAGTTTATCCCACTAATAACAGTATCATCCGTTTGGATCGTTTTGTGTTACTATCGTGTAATTATATGTCGCAGATCCGAGTTCCTGGTATAACATAGTTGTTATACATGTTGTGTTCATTGCAGTGTTCGATTATGCATTGTTGCTGATTTTAATATTTGTATTATGTACAATTCATTTTCTTTCATTTGATTTGAAATCGTCTGGTCAAACATGTCGATTCAAAATGAATTTCCAACCTCTTCTACATACACAAAATAATCGAGAAAAACGGAGCGAAGAAACAAAATAGAATCCAAATCTAAGCGTTTTCTGAAAATAATATGTATTTTGCCGTTCTAGCGCACCTTTTCGACCACTCTCAATTTTCTACATTTTCAGTCATTTTAAGGCTTATTTTCATTGATTTCTAACCTTTGGTCATCAGAAATGTGTCATTTTTAACAATTTTCAAAAATGGTAAAATGGTCGAAAAGTGCGGTACTTTAGAATGTGGTCGAAATGGATGGTCGAAATGGTCGAAAAGGTGCGCTAGAACGGTGAATAAAAATAATGCTAAATAAATGATGAAACTAGAGAAAAATTTAAAACCATTAACATATCTTGATCTCGAAATAATAATGCGATTTTTCGTCAACTCACAAAACCTAGATTTCTGGGACATCCAAAAACTCCACACCAAAATTAAGATACCTTTATTTACAACATATTATTGAGCAACTTAATATTCTCCAATACCACTTTCAAATATTTATCATATCCATCTCTCCAAATAATGCTCTCCATCCGCTTGCAATCATTCGCAATGCTCTCAGTTGCCTTTGTAAAATTTTCAAGCAGCTTCCAATTTTTTATAATCATGTTCAGTGAAGGATGGTCGAGTCGCTGTCCAAAAAGTGTAGCACTGTGAATACAACTTTCTTGGGGTAGTACCTAAAAACATTCAATAGTTTTTCCGAAAGGATATATTCATACGCTTACCACAAAATCTATAATAATCAGCTGATGTTTGTCATCAAGCCCATAGTTTCTAGAATTAAGGTCGCCCAAATATAAAAGATTCCTAATCAAGTCCAAGCGCATTTGATGTTCGTCTGTAAACGGACATGCGGATCGGAGGGCACGTTTCTTTTGGAATCCTTGAACTAAAACAAAATAGCGTAATAACATGGTCAAATAAAATCGAAATACCTCTCTTTGTGGCGATATGCAAAGCGAGTGCTGATGTGTAGCACCTCGAATAAGCACTCGGAATGAAATGTGCATCGGCACCAACACCAATAAATTGCAAAAGCCGATAGACGAATATTTCTCGCTTATCAACGCGTGAATGAGCAGAACCACGACCCATAAAGGTATGATTCTTGACAAAATAGTCGGCGTCAGCTACGTGAACGATAAATCCTCCCTATAAAATAACAGAGAAAACCATGCAAGAAATATATGTAATAACCTGAGCCCCAGTGTCCGGTTTTGGAGAAAATGTAATCGAAAGAGCTTCATTAGCGAAATACTTTCTGAAGTAGGATCCCACAGCCTGGAAATTGCAATTATTGACACAATAAAGTGCCGTCAAAAATACTCACTATTTTGATGCTCTCTTCAACTTCAATAATAAAACGGTCAAACACAGTCGATAACTCCACGAACTTATCAGTGAAAGTAGGATACGTAGCGAAGAACTCACAATTTTCAAGGTGGATTAAAATTTTCGATCCTTGTTTAGCAAATTTAGCTTTTAAATGATCGGGCTTCTTCTGCGTAACACTGTCGGCGAAAACTAAGCATGCTGCCCAATCGTGTAGTCCACTGTGTTTCTAAAATGTTATTTCATGTTTGTTGTTATTTCATCTTCTTGTGTTATATTGAAAAACAAATATCTTGTTTGATTGAAGCCAAGTGAAAAAGTTAATACCTCAGGTGAGGTAGCCATGTTTGGGGTTCATGGCTAGGTGGAAGTGAATTCACTTTCTAGTGAAGACATCCATTTTCACTGAAAGTCCCCCATTTCACAAAAATCAAACAAGATATTTGTAGTCAAAAAATTTTAACTTCTAAATTATGGAATTAGTTTACTGTTTCAAATGTAAAAAATATACTGATACTACTGACATATTTAATGTTGAAACAAGCTCGAAACGTTCTATGATAAAAGGGTTATGCCAAGATTGTAATACAATGAAGTGTAAGCTAATTCCAAAATCACAGGAGGCTCTGGATTAGGAGATATCAAGGAGGTTAAAATTAGTGAAAAATCTAAAGGATTTTGTGGTATCAATGAGTTAGCAAGAATAACAAAGAAGCCTATCAAAGATGTCAAAGAGTTCCTGAATGAACAAGATGTTTACACTCTACACAAACCAGCTAGGAAGAACTTCAAGTGTCAAAGAGTGTTTGTGAATGGAATAGATGATCAGTGGCAGTGAGATCTCGTAGATATGATTCCCTACGTAGAAGAAAATAAAGGTTATAGATATCTTCTAACTATAATTGATTGTTTTAGTAAGTTTGCATGGGTTGTTCCTCTTAAGAGTAAAACAGGCAAAGAAACTGCAGATGCTCTTTCTTTAGTTTTCACAAAAAGTAAAAGAAAACCCAAAAAGATGCAAACTGATAATGGTAAAGAGTATTACAATTCCAATTTAAAAAGTCTCTTCAAAAAATTAGAAATTAATCATTTCTCAACTTATTCAGATAAAAAAGCATCAATAGTTGAGAGATTTAATAGAACGTTAAAAGAAAGATGTGGAAAATGTTCACTCATCAAGGAAGTCATAAATGGGTTGATATTCTTGATGATCTTGTGTTAGGATATAATAATCATTATCACACTTCAATAAAAATGACTCCCATACAGGCTTCAAAGATAGAAAACGAAAGTATTGTTTACAATAATCTATTTCCTATAAAACATAATTTTGAGGAAATTCAAAAAAATTCTAAATTCAAAATAGGTGACACAGTCAGAATAACAAAATATAAAGCTATTTTTGACAAAGGTTATCTTCCGAATTGGACAACTGAGATGTTCAAAATTGCAAAAGTTCATATTGGTAAACCTGTGATGTACGAACTAAAAGATCTTGCAGATGAAGAAATAAAAGGTAAATTCTATGAAGAAGAACTTACACTTTACAATAATGTTACTCACAAGGGAAGTGTTTTCAGAGGGGCGTTGAGAATTTTCTAAAAATTTCAGTACTGATGGTTTGAGATATCCGCAACACGATGACGAAAAAATCTAGGTCATAGTATCATCAACAAGCTAAAAATCTTCGTCTGAAAATTTTTGGTCGATTTCGCCCTCTCCCTCACTCCACTACGCCCCTCTCTCCTATACCCACTCCCCGCCAGAGGAAAATATCGGCTGTGTGGTGTTGTGGTAAGAGGGAGACTCATTAGGAGTGACTATGGTGGTTCGAACCCCACTGTGGTAAATCTTTTTTTTTGTTTTTTTCGAGACGAATTTTCGATATCCATTTTGGTCCCCTGAATAACAAATTATACTTATTTCATTAATTCCCGACGTTTTCAAAGTGAAAAAGAAGGCGTTTGAAGTTTTGAAGAAATTTTGAAATATTGTTTTTTCCGACTTGTCCTATCGCCCAAAAGCAAAACTTTCGACTCTCGGAATTGCTCCGTCTCGCTCTTTTTTGAGTGGATTACCACCAAATCTATCACCAACATGATCTTTACATATTTCTGTGTATTCCGTGCGATTTTGAGAATTATTTTAGAAGTTACAGTTTTTCAAATTTCTTGCAATTATCAGATTTTGGGAATTATCAGGGCTCACAGACGAAATCGAGCTGCCAAATTCTGTGAAAATGATGTTTCCATCATTTCTGAGTGTTTGAAAGACTTTTTTGCACTTTCAAAAAATTTCTCAAAAAATCACTTGTAAAGTGTGGGGTACCCCATGATGATTTTTTTCAAAAAAAAATTTTTTTTGAAATTGTACAAAAATATTGCAGATGATAGAGAAATGATCAAAAAAGAGTTTCCCGCTGAAAAAATCCTGGAAAAAGAGTTTTAAAGCTCGAAAAATGCACGTTTTTGGTCAAAATTTAGTACTGAAAACACTTTGAGAGCCCATATTTTTGTTCCTATTAGGGTTATGACCGAGATATTGCTGAAATCGTATTCAGCATGTTCGAAAGTACCTTTGTACAAATTTTGAGCTAATTCTCAACGCCCCTCTGAAAACACTTCCCTTGTCAGGAGTACAAAATCGAGAAAGTATTGAAACATAGGACTAGAAACAAAGTAAAAGAAATATTTGTTAAATGGTATGGATATCCGGAAAAGTTTAATTCTTGGATTCCTGAAAGTGATTTGAAGTCTTAATTAATTTAGATGCTCAATTATTAAAATAATCTAGGTGTATTTCATACACTGACAACCTTAACTCTATTATCCTTGACTTCAACAATATTTTCACTCAAGATTAAGCAATAACATTTAGTACTTTGAGCAATGTTTTTACCGAAGGAAGCTTTTATTGTAACATCAGGTCGAGATGCAATGATTCTATTATTTGTTTTTGATACATCAAATACTAAAAGTGGATAATAATAATAATACACATCTTCTTCCATGAAAATGTAATCTTTTACACTTTCATAGTAACTATTTCTGAATTCTTTAGCAAAATTGTATTGTTGAACTGCATTGAATTTATCAAAATCAAACTTCAGACATTCGTATGGATATCTTTCACTATTCAATTCAACATAGATTTCTTCAAGTCCACAATTATCAAATTTAGCAGCATTGAGATAATTGTTATCTCTTGCAGTCTGAAATGCTATGACGATGTATTTTATTTTATCATATTTTGTTCCTAGTTTCCAAGTGAATTCACGATTTCCATTTGGAATGTTATAACTTTCAAATTGTCTAGAAATAAAAGGTATTTGCACTAATTTATTACTTTCAAATAAATTAAGAAGTTTGTTTTGCATCTCTAAGGAAGGCATAATTTTAGGAATTATCCATTGAAGTTTATTAATAGTCATCTTAGCAGTAAATTTAGTAGGATCTGTGGATGTAATAGAATTTTTATTTTCTGGTGATCTGTAAAGTGAAAGAGTGTGTTTTCTTCCGTAAACTATTTTATTATAACATTCAGCAAAGCCAAAAATATGAGTCAGTGGAATACAAAAGGTAAGTAAGCCTTTTCTATTTTTAGTGTATTTATTTATCTTATAATTCATGATATCCTTAGTCTCGAGGATCCAACCAAAAGTATTTGGTTTATTCATTGTTGAAGAATAAGTGAGGAGGCCTTTCATAAGTGAAGCTCTTCCAGGATCATGATATATTTAATGAACACTCCAGTCTTCTTGAAACACTAATAGGAGAGAATCCTAGAAAATAATATCACACATTACTTCAGTTGTATGTCTCAAAAGATTATTTGATTTGTTCTCAAGGTATTGAAACTCTCCAGCTGCTTGAAAATCTGAGTAAACTTGTCTTCTTGTTCTTTTAGATTTTCTATTTTCAAATTCTTTTAGTGCATATTCAGCAAATTTAGTAACGTATACATCATAACTTGGAAAAGTATCACAAGCTTCTTTAGTTTTGACGAAATCGGATATTTCTTTATCTGTAGACCTTAGGTAATCAGCATAACTTGGAAGCATTAAACAATCATTTTTAATCTTTGAGTATTCTTCATAAGTAGGTAATGGAAAAGGTCTAGAAGTGTCTTTTAAACTTTGATTTGCTTCTAGGAAGCTTTGCTTTCGCTTTGTCGATCTTTCAGATCTAAGAATCTTTGATTTAGTAGATCTTTTATCTCTTTTGGTAGTATTCGAATTCACAGAAGTAGTGCTCATGAAAGATCACCTTTTCATCTAAAAAGTTGAGATCAAAATCCTTTAAACTCTTGAGATTCACAATCTCTTCGCTTCCAGGAAGTTTACCGAAGGAAGTTTTTCCTATAGAACTGGAAATAATTCCTTGTGAGTAGTACCAAATTTTGTCTCCAAGGGATCGTATTCTAATGGGTATTTGTCCTTGAGTAAGAGCTAAACTTGTCTTAAATCCATCAAAATGAGTTAGATCAATAAATTCAATTACTTCATCAACTAAAGATTTACAAAATGTTACTTTTACAACATCTTCATTAACTAGTTGAACTCTTATTGCTGAATGATTTAGTTGTTTTTAGTAGTATTCAATAATCCTTGTCTTTCCATTTTTTCCTTCTTTCTCTTTTCGAACTCTAGATATTGCTTCATTTTTTCTTCTCTTCTCGTCTCAAATTCTTTACGATCAGCTTCGTATTTATCTCTTACTTCTTTGTCTTTTTCCGTTTGGAGTTTCTCACGAAGTTCTCGATCCTTTTGGATTTGTTCTTGTTGTCTTTTATAATATTCTTCTCTTTCTTTTTTTCCATTTCTGTATTAAATACAATTCATCGTTTTAGGCGACAATCAAGCAGCTCCACGATAAAATTCGCATCGTCATCGATTTGTTGAAAGGTTCATTGGAAGGTGTAGGACTGAAAGATAACGAAACGTTGATTCTGGTTAGTTATTTTGACATTTAATTCTCATATTTTTTAAAAGCGAGAACTAATTTTTTTTTCATTTTTCCTTTTCGAGTTATCAAAGTAGAATATTGTTTTTTGAGATTCAAAAAAGTGCTAAATTCTTATATACATAGCTAGTGGATTTTATAACAGTTTTATTTAAAATTGTTGTTGCACGAAATTAAATATAAGCCTATGACTAATGGTGCATTTTAGAAACACAGTGGACTGCACGATTGGGCAGCATGCTTAGTTTTCGCCGACAGTGTTACGCAGAAGAAGCCCGATCATTTAAAAGCTAAATTTGCTAAACAAGGATCGAAAATTTTAATCCACCTTGAAAATTGTGAGTTCTTCGCTACGTATCCTACTTTCACTGATAAGTTCGTGGAGTTATCGACTGTGTTTGACCGTTTTATTATTGAAGTTGAAGAGAGCATCAAAATAGTGAGTATTTTTGACGGCACTTTATTGTGTCAATAATTGCAATTTCCAGGCTGTGGGATCCTACTTCAGAAAGTATTTCGCTAATGAAGCTCTTTCGATTACATTTTCTCCAAAACCGGACACTGGGGCTCAGGTTATTACATATATTTCTTGCATGGTTTTCTCTGTTATTTTATAGGGAGGATTTATCTTCACGTAGCTGACGCCGACTATTTTGTCAAGAATCATACCTTTATGGGTCGTGGTTCTGCTCATTCACGCGTTGATAAGCGAGAAATATTCGTCTATCGGCTTTTGCAATTTATTGGTGTTGGTGCCGATGCACATTTCATTCCGAGTGCTTATTCGAGGTGCTACACATCAGCACTCGCTTTGCATATCGCCACAAAGAGAGGTATTTCGATTTTATTTGACCATGTTATTACGCTATTTTGTTTTAGTTCAAGGATTCCAAAAGAAACGTGCCCTCCGATCCGCATGTCCGTTTACAGACGAACATCAAATGCGCTTGGACTTGATTAGGAATCTTTTATATTTGGGCGACCTTAATTCTAGAAACTATGGGCTTGATGACAAACATCAGCTGATTATTATAGATTTTGTGGTAAGCGTATGAATATATCCTTTCGGAAAAACTATTGAATGTTTTTAGGTACTACCCCAAGAAAGTTGTATTCACAGTGCTACACTTTTTGGACAGCGACTCGACCATCCTTCACTGAACATGATTATAAAAAATTGGAAGCTGCTTGAAAATTTTACAAAGGCAACTGAGAGCATTGCGAATGATTGCAAGCGGATGGAGAGCATTATTTGGAGAGATGGATATGATAAATATTTGAAAGTGGTATTGGAGAATATTAAGTTGCTCAATAATATGTTGTAAATAAAGGTATCTTAATTTTGGTGTGGAGTTTTTGGATGTCCCAGAAATCTAGGTTTTGTGAGTTGACGAGAACTCGCATTATTATTTCGAGATCAAGATATGTTAATGGTTTTAAATTTTTCTCTAGTTTCATCATTTATTTAGCATTATTTTTATTCACCGTTCTAGCGCACCTTTTCGACCATTTCGACCATCCATTTCGACCACATTCTAAAGTACCGCACTTTTCGACCATTTTACCATTTTTGAAAATTGTTAAAAATGACACATTTCTGATGACCAAAGGTTAGAAATCAATGAAAATAAGCCTTAAAATGACTGAAAATGTAGAAAATTGAGAGTGGTCGAAAAGGTGCGCTAGAACGGCAAAATACATATTATTTTCAGAAAACGCTTAGATTTGGATTCTATTTTGTTTCTTCGCTCCGTTTTTCTCGATTATTTTGTGTATGTAGAAGAGGTTGGAAATTCATTTTGAATCGACATGTTTGACCAGACGATTTCAAATCAAATGAAAGAAAATGAATTGTACATAATACAAATATTAAAATCAGCAACAATGCATAATCGAACACTGCAATGAACACAACATGTATAACAACTATGTTATACCAGGAACTCGGATCTGCGACATATAATTACACGATAGTAATCATTTTACCATTTTTGAAAATTGTTGAAAATGACACATTTTTGATGACCAAAGGTTAGAAATCAATGAAAATAAGCCTTAAAATGACTGAAAATGTAGAAAACTGTGAGTGGTCGAAAAGGTGCGCTAGAACAGAAAAATACATATTATTTCTGAAAGACAATAGAAATCTCTTTTTTCCTTTTTTTCAATTTCTCCCGCTTTCTTTTCTCTATTCTTTTACTAGTCTTCCGCCTTTCGCTTTTTTATCGAACTTTTATTTTTTTCTGTTTCTCGGACCATATACAACATAGGTTACACAATATGCATATCCTTGAAAAAGGAACATATGGCATGCTGGTTCTCGTAGCCCACCAAAGTCTTTGGTCTAAAGAGAGCACAATTATCTGGAGTTCTTTGTTTTTCTCGAGAGCCATAATAAGTTACATCAGAGTTCAAGATCATTGAAAAGAACTTAATTGTGGGAACCTTCATTGCAAGATTTGTTTTCAATTGGATTACGGTTGAAAAAAATCTGAATCTTTTTAAACCAAAGGAATATCCGAATTAACTACTTTTCCCAATTAGGAAGAGCTTGACAACATAAGAACCTGTGTTAATTATTCCTATTTCCCGAGCTCAGAACATACCACCCGTTCATTTTTTTTTTCGCTCTCAGAAAAGTGTCAAGTGCGTTATGAGACTAATCGTCGGTTTCTCCTCCCCCTTCTGTCGTTTTTTCTTCTTGCCAATTATGCACATCCTCTTTTTCACTCCATATGTGTCAAAATAAGTGCTTCTTGCACAACCTCAGAATAAGCGATTCCTCCCTCTTTTTTTTTAATAATTCATTCGGGCTCACACCGTGGTATTTATGATTGACACCAAACAGCTGTACTCGCTTTTCCTTTTCTCCTGCGCACATCTCCCATGGGTACTTCATTCTGGATGCTCAGCGCTTTTTGACGTACACAAAAAACAGCCATCAGATTGATTTTATGGTGGAATGCTTTCAGGAAAACAGCCATACCCAGCCAACTGACAGCTTCGGTTTTTACTTACGATGATATATTTTTGAAAAAAAAGTAAACTACTTTTGATGAAGTCTTTAGTGGGATAACCACTTGGTGTAGATATCAAATCTTTATAGGATTCGAAATCTTTAAAATTTCTAGGTCATCAGTTTTGCGAATTTTACTCTGAACAGATAAGTGTACTGTTTTTGAGTAACCTAATAAATACCGTAAACACTCTAATAGAAGACCACCCAAACTGCAAACGTTGAGCTCATATATCTCGGTTCCTGTAGAAAATATAAAAAAGCGTAAAGCTAAAAATAATTTGTCAGTTGACTTTGTTTTGATATCTTTTACAGGAACCAAGATATATGGACTCAAAGTTTGCGGTTTTAGGTGGACTCCTATTAAAGTGTTTACGGTAGATTGAATACTAACGTTTCAAAAGCTTAACGGAGGACTCCTACCAGGAGAAACTCCTACCAGAAGAAACCCATGCCACGGCGTCTAAGACTTTCTTTTAAGGGGATGAAAGTAGTTTTTGACGTTTTTCAAATTCCGGAAAAATCGCCTCATAAAAAAGCCGGCCCGCAGCCGTGGCCTAGGAGCTCACTCCACGGGAACTCGAATCCTTGTCCCTGTTCGCAACCTTTTTTTTGGAAATTATTTGTCCTCAACGGCGTTTTTTGGGGATTTCGGTTTTTTTTCCTCAATAATATTAGGAGAGCACATAATTTTGAAACATTTTATGCAATAAGAATATTTGGTCGAAGTCCCCCTTTGAAAAAAATGAAAATGGAGTTTGGAAATCAATTGTTTTTGGGACCACAGTTAATTTTCTGAAATATTATTCTCAAGAGATATAAGACAGTAGGAATTTCAAATAAATTCAAATTTGAGGTTGTTTTTTTGAAAAGGCAATTAATATCGGAAAGTTTACACTGTTTTCAACTTGTGGTTGGTATAACAGCACGGTGTTTCAAACCAAAAACGAGAGGTCCGAAAGGTGAACACATCCAACTTTCGGAAGCAGATTAAAACAATGAAAGCCAAATTAGGCTTAAATCAATGGAAAATTTTCCATAATTATAAATGAATTTTTCGCAGTCAGTTTTCACTGGAATTTTCCAAATAATCAACAAAATTGATAAATCACAACCGTTTTTGAATTTATTTGAAATTCTCACTGTCTTACATGAAGCCATATTTACGGTGTATAAGATTCAGAGAATATTATTATTACCAAAATCTAGGAACCCCATAATTATATTCTAATGGAGAATACACCTAATAGATTTGAGATGAACCATCGTCTAGCATTTTCTCTTCATAATTGAATATTCAGTGTCTTCTTCTCCTTTTTTTCTCCTTTGGATACATTTCATTTCATGTGAAATTGCTCATTACTCAAGTTTTTTACCGTCCAAATTTTCTACTTCTTCTTTTCTTCTCTTTCTGCGCTTCTTCTCATCCCGTTTACACTCTGTTTTCTTTCCTTCAATCTCTCCCGTTTTTTTACATCGTGTCCATTCTCTTGTTCCAATCTTTTTTTCTTCCTCTTTCTATCATTTTCTGTGTCATTTCCTATGAGTATAATAAGATTTGGTTCCCCATTTCCCCGTCTTTTTGAAGGACAACAAAGTGGCCGAAATTTAATAATTTTACGTTTTGAAAACGGCTCTTCTTCTTCTTCTTCCTTTTACTTCTCTATTTTCGGTTTCGTCTCGAAAAGTTCTAACTTTTTTTTCGTATACACATGAGTTTTTCGTTCTCTTTGCTCCTCCGTTCACTTCAAATGACAGGCGCTAAACTCTCATGAATATTTCATTCCCATATACTAATTAGTTTGACCCCAGGGGCCATATATGGACAACAAAACTAATGTTGTCTGAAATGTACCAACGCGAAGCTATTCATAACTTTTATTGATTATATGTTTAGAGCCTAAGATATAACAACTTCTGGATTCTGAATAAATTTCCATCCACCCGCATCTTCTTCCTCCAATAAAAAAAGCAAGAAAGTGTCAGATTTCATTAGAGTTGGAGGAAGAAAAAGAAAATGCATTTTTGATTGCTTCATTGTATTCTTGTTTTATCTGCTCGCCCAATTCTTTAGAATATCTTTAAAAAACTGAACAGATTCTCCCAAATAAAAAAGAAGGTTCGTTTCCGCTTCACGTTTTCGTTTGTTTTTGTTTTGCGTTATATTAAAAAAATTCACAGGGCTTCTTCCCAAAAAAAATCTGTAGTATTTGGAATAGAGACTCTGAAGAATGTAAAAAAGGATAAAAGTTCATGGAACCTATTCTATAAGAAGGTCACAGCAAGAAATATGAAATTTCGAAGTTTTGAAAAAAGAACAATTTACAAGATCTTATTTTTGGTATTAAAGGGGACTTCGATCAAAAAAAATTTATTGGATTACAATGCTCTCAAAAGAAAGATTTTCCTAAGTTTTTTGCAAAAAAAACTTTGCAAATCCGGAATCCCCGGATAACGCTGATGAAAATTTTGAAAAAAGTAGAGAACAGGGACGAGGATTCGAGTTCCAGTGCAGAGAGAAACCTAGGTCATGGCGACAAAAAGGCCACGAAAAGCGTCCCATTTAGCAGACGTCTGTCTTGGCCTAGGTTTCTCTCTGCGTGGGAACTCAAATCTTCGTCCCTATTCGCCACTTCTTTAAAAAATTCAACAGCATTTTTCGACAAGATCTACTTTTTAGTATCCACATTATTCTAATGATGTTAATTTTCATATTCTCCCGGTTCACTACATATTTGCTCCCTTCTGGAGATGTTCATCTTCTTTTTCCTTTCAAAAGTAAAGAAATTCTTTCTTTCTTCTCTCGCAAAACTTCTTCTTGTTGCGTTAGCATCCTCCTATCTTCTTCTTCTTCTTTTTTCTCTCACATGAATTCTCACACCATTAGCATACTTGCCCTTTCCCCTTTGAAGGGAGTACTATCGAATGCTCATTTTCATGCCGACAGTACTTGACATAATCCGCGTGGGCAAAAGCCAACCGAGAGCAGTCTCATTGTTCTTCTACAATAACAACACAGCAGCTTTTTGCAATCTATACACACATACACAGTAGGAGAGGAAGAACCCGCGCGGGGAGTGGGAAGACAAAATAGTGCACCAGATGCACAAAACAGACGGGAGGAGGCGGTCAGGAGAAGAAGAAGAAGAAGAAGAAGCAGGAGGAAGTGGGTGTGTTCTTCGCCAAGAGTGACCTCTTTTACCACAAGAAAAAGAAGAAGACACACCCGTGTGCACCAAGAAGAAGAGGACAGGAGGAAGAACAATTTGTAACTTCTGTTCTTCTATCTTTTTTCTATAAATATGTTCTTTTCTTCTATTTTTCTAGATTTTTGTCAAAACTTCAAGTGGTTTTCCAGGTTTAAAATAACCAGAAAACTTTTCGGGAAGTTCGAAATTTTTCTTGTCCAGAAGTGGATTTTAGATTTCTAACCGAAAGTTTGCAAATCTTTAGATTGTTCCATTTGAAAGAATTTGAAAAAAATTAGAAAGAACACGAATGATTCTGTAAGGTTACTGAAAGTTACTGAAAGGACACTTGGTTCGATTAAAAGCTACCGTATTTTCTCTAATAGTAGCCCACCTCTAATAGAAGTCCACCTTGGCTGTGCAGTTCGTCTTCTCGGTTATTTTTGACATAATTTTTTTTAATTTTCTGGTAAATTCTGGTATTCTTATCGTTCCTCAAATAATCGTGTTCAGTGAAAAACCCAAAACCCTCTAGTTCGAGAATCTGATAGAAGTCAGCCCGTGGAGGAGGTTGAAAAATAAAACCCATGAGCCTCTATTAGAGTGAATACGGTGTATCCATTGAACCTGCACCATGTCAGTCTATTTGAAATCCACCGATCATTATAAATTCTCTCATCTAAATGATCTCTCTAAACAATCCTTTATTCACTTTCTCGTTACCCCGAATGAGCTTTTCCGTCGTTTCGCAAAGGTTCTTCAATGACCCAAAAGCATGCACACCGCCCGTAATTACATCCAATTGTTATTGTTTTGCCGCCATTGAGACGTTCGAATGATGAATTACGAATTGCCTTTCCTCCTCATTTCATTTTCTTCTTATTTTCCCCTTCATTTTCCATCCATTTTGATAGCTAAATAGTTTCTTTTTCTCGGTTCTTATTTACTCAACTGTTTTGTTTAGATATCTTTTCCTCTCATTATTTTTTCGATCCTCTTAAAAAAGTAAAAACTAATATTTGCTCTATTTTTTCAGACATCTACTTCACACTTATGCTATCTGGATTCGAATGAGACGACGTGGCCTTTGCCTTCAACTTCTTCTATTCTTCATCTATGCAGTTTCTCAATGTGAGTTCCTAACGAACGAAGAGACTTTTAATTTCATTTCCATCAAAACGAACGGAGACACCAAATTCTCCATTTCTTGTGACTTTTGACACCACTTGCCCCCTTAATAGACGACTAGGGGTTAGTTTTGGGGGAAGGGAGAACCCTATTCAAAACGTTTCCGATCGTTTTATTGGACAAGATGAACTGAAAAGCCATAACTCAAACAATGTGAGCACATCGAAAAGATCAGACGAGAAAAAACAGAGAAACGAATGGCCGGCAGGTGTCATTGGACACTAAATCTTCGGAGCGAGTCTATGAATAATGAGTGAAAACAGAAAACCATCTGTCGGTTTCAATGTGGATGTGCTCTAAACGTTTCTGAGATTTATATACAATGCTAACATGACGTTTAGTATTAAAAGGTTCTGGAGGACCCTCGTTCCACCGGAAATTCGTCAAATTCAAGTGCTTACTCGCGCGAACGAGCACGGAAGGCTACATTTTGAACACGCTTCTCGATATACCCAAGTGAGAGGAAAATTCTTTTAGGTTCAAGGGTTTTCTAAGAAACAACTTGAAAAAGTGGTTTAAATTTGCAAGGCTTGTCCCAAGTACAGCATCTTCTAATCCAAATGGAAATCACATCTACATTTCACCGGTAAGACGGGGTTGGCAAAGAGCGTACAAACGGTGGCTGAAGATCTAAGACGTGGCTATAACTTGTGTCTCCAAGCAAATATGGAAAAAATATGGACAAAAATAATTAAAGGCAATCATTAGTAATCGGATTATAAGTTTAAAAATAAATATTATTTTCTGAGTAAAGTATAAGAAAACAAATTTTTTCGATTTCATGGATTTATTTTTTTTTTTGAAGGAGCATTTAACGGATAATAGTTTTTTCATTATGGTCCCATTACTAATGATTGCCTTTTATACTTTTTGTCCCATTTGCTTAAAGACGCAAGTTATAATTACGTCTTAGATCTTCAGCCGCCGTTTGTCCGCTTGTTTTGTCCGCTTTGTCCGCTTGTTTCCCGCCTTACCGGTGCTTTGAATTTTCAAAATGTAATTTCCATGAGGACAGAATGCCATGGTTTGTAAAACATGTAATAAACAAAAAAACAAACCCAAGATCGTATGCTGACTATTATCGGACTGCCTCGTTTCTGGTACCCAGAGCCTTCAATGTGCTAATTATATCCATCCTTTGATCTTTGTCACCCACATTTTATCTTCTTTATTGGTATCCTCTTAACCAAAAAGGTCATAATTCGATTATGAAATGTGGCTTCTGTAGTCCTTCTCTAAACCATCTCTCGTAAATAACCTCCCCGTACCCTGGATTAGCACTGCAAGAGTCATCAGGAATCTTCTCCTTATGCAGATGGCTCAACTCGTCACACCCTTCCTAAAAATAATCCCGTTTAGTGTAGACGTCCTCGTTTTTACACATATCTCAAACAGAAACAAGATCAAAGAGAAAATGACGAAATTTCAGGCTCTGCCGAATGTTCTGATGTCTCCTTCTCGTCCGTTGCATCGAAATTAGACGGTCTGAAGAGAGTGACACGTCTGTCGGTCAGTGGACATATTTCGGCATATCATGTTAAGGTTTCCATCTCGGATGACGACTTTCAGTTGGTTCGAGTCTCGAACGGGAATCCACTGGTAAGAACAACATCCTCCCTCAAGGGAATAAGCTCTTATCTAACCGACAAAAAAGAGAGACCGACATATTGTCGCCGGATGGACACGAAATATGTGTCGCCCGTTTTAAAAAGAAGAAGATGAATGTGTGAAGAAAAACCATGTTGTTGCAGGTCCTCTATTCTACGTTATCGAACACGCCATCTTGGACACACGTCGACTTTTTAGCTTCAGAAGTCCGGATATTGCCGGCTTTTGAACAAGCAACTGAAGATGTACGGGGGCCATTGTTGATTCTTACCGTTTGTGATTATGGTGGGTAGTTTGGTTGAGGGGCAGAAATCTCAAATCTGGAACTAATTTCAGACACACCTATTACTGCATTCGATGACTCATCGTACACGGTTGAATCACATCATGCGGGACTTGTATCCATGTATGAAAATGATCTATGTGTAGTATTTAGAACCTATCGATCAGGAGTGTTCTTTTTTTCAATGGCAGATCAAGGAGATGTTCTGATTGCTCAGATTATCCACGGAACTATTCATGTCATATTTGATTTTGGATCTTTAACACCTTCGAGGATAAGTGCTGGAAAAGCGCTGGATGATGGCAGATGGCATGAGGTATTCCTTGATAGAGTATCTTTCCTCTCAATATATTAATTTCAGCTGAGATGGCTTCATCAATTCGATTCGGTTCAACTCTCAATAGATGGAGTCCTGCTGAATCAAACTGCTCCGACGGGTCTCTATCGAAAATTGGACTTACATAGTGTGGTAAGTGCACTTCCTCCCGTTCTCGAGTGTAATTGTTGAATGAAATCTGAGAAGCGTTCCGGTGTAATTACCTTTTACTATATAGGGATAGACCACCCGTTGCTTACTTGTTTGCGGATTAACGCTGAGACTTGTAGGTACATATTGGAGGAAGACCTGCTGATGACTTCTCGCAAGGGATTGAGACAACTTTCACCGGTGAGTATATGGGAGAATAAAAAGGCACCAACGAATTGAGAAAGACTTGATCTATTTCTTTAGTAGATGGGGATACCGTAAACACTCTATGTAATAGAAGGGACCTTACTTTTAACTTTGAGCCGAATTTTCTCGGTTCCTGTGGAAGATATAAAAAATTGCCAACGGATAAATTACGTATTATAAAATCAGAAGTGTTTGGTCAGTGGACCATTTTTGATATCTTGCATAAGGATTGAGACAATTGAACTCAAACTTGACAGTATGGGGGATCTTGTATTACAGGTTTTAGGGCGCGTTACTTTCCTTTTTGAACCGATTAGAATAGTTGAATTTTCAGGATGCATCGCCCGCCTTCAACTCAACAATGCTGACCTCCTCCAACTCTCTCCTAGCGAAGTTCATAGTCAGTGTCAGATGCCAAAACCTCCATCTTTCACTCTTCATAATGCATCTCGTGCAGTTCTTCCGTTCACATTCCTCCCTTTTTCATTCGAATTTCGAATAGTTCCAATTAATGGTCGATTGGTAACTCTATTTGATGCCGAAAACGGAACACTGGTGGATGTAGTCGTCGACGAGGAGAAGAAACTGCATCTCGTAAGCAACATCACCAAGTTCAAACAAGCTGCAAATCCAGCAATCGACGTGGCAAATGGCGCCTGGCACAGTTTCTCCATGAGAATTCGAGGAGTTCGGATGGAAATCGACATAGATGGATACACAGTGCTTTGGCTAGAAGGACATGAAGTTCGGAGGATATCTCAGAGACTTTCTAATTTTATTTTATCCGCTAGTGGATGTTATAGAAGTGCAACAATCGATTTGACAAGTGTTCGAGTTGATGGAAATGTAACAAGAGGAGAGTGCACATTCCAAGAAAAATGTCTTCCGAACCCTTGTGAAAATGGAGGAGGATGTGTTCAATCTGCACTGGACGATTACGTCTGCAACTGTAGAGATGGGTATAAGGGAAAGAATTGTCATACAAGTGAGTTGATTTCAGACTTGTTTCTTGTAAAGTATTGAATATTTTCAGCTGATCTTCCACACTCTTGTGAGGAATGGGTGTTTACGAAAGGAAATAAGCAGAAAGCAGTTCAAGGAAGAACAGTTTTGATCGATATTGACGGTGGTGGAGAAATGCAACCGATTAATGTGACCTGTAAAACGGAAAGAGACGAATTGGGAGTTGATGGAGTTAGCACTATTCTTGAACATGATCTTATAAGACCCATGATAGTCACAGGAGACAATAAACCGGGAGCTGTGAGATATTCACTAACGTATGGAATAAGTATCGAGCAAATGGATCGGTTGGTGGAAGGATTTGAAGCATGTAGCCAGTTTATGAGATACACTTGTCGTGGAGGTGTCAGATTGATGACTCAAGGAGATGAGAGAAGTCCTTCGTCTTGGTATTCAACGAGAAGTGATAAACATGGATTACAGTGGGGAGAAGCTCCTCCGTATTCTAGAATGTGTTCATGTGCAATCAATGGGAGTTGTCTTCACAATAGAATGTGTAACTGTGATAGTGGAGAAGATTCAACAGATGAAGGTGTCAATCCATACTCACAATTACTTCCAGTCACTGGTCTTTTTCTCGGCGGAACTACTAAATCATCTTCGATTGAAGTTGAAATAGGACCTTTGAAATGCAGGAATCGTGCTACTTTTGACCCAGTAACTTTCTCAGACCGAAATGCAAAATTGAGTGGAACACAAACCTTCAACCAGAGAACTTTCGACGTATCTCTTCATGTAAAGTTCTCTCACTCTCAAATGTCGATTCTCTCGTGGCATTCGACTGATGATCTACACTGGTTTCATTTATATGTCAATGATGGAAAAATAGTTGGAGAAGTTGTGAATGGCGGAGAAAGTCAGCAGATTGTGTCGGATCATCGGTATGATGATGGAAAGTTCCATGCAATTTACTGGGAAGTTGATTCGACAGGAATGTTTCTGAAGGTTGATGGACAGCGGAAATCTCTGAAAACTTCTTTTGTACTTCCTACAGTATACATGTGGATTGTTGGATCAAGAACTGAGAAAGGTTCTACAGGATTCGCAGGCGTTATACGGAATGTCTATCTGTGTGGTGTTGAATTGACACTCGGACAGTATGCAAGAAAAGAGACTGAACGTGGAATCGCACTAGGGGATGATGGATACTGTAGACCAGATTTATGCCAAAATGGAGGACAGTGTGTTGATAAATACGATGGATATGTTTGTGATTGTAGTATGACTCCATTTGGAGGAAGCGATTGTTCGAAGGAGTACGGAATGATGGTTCCTGCTGGATCTTCGATTCAGATCCCATGGCAAAATCCAGCTCATCAGTCAATGTGTCATCGTATCGCAATTCAAACTGCATCTAGGAACACAACTATCTTAAGATCCAAAGCTCTTTTCGCTGATTCTACATTCAATATGACTGTTGATGATAATGGTAAGTGGTAGATTTGATTCTAGAAATCATTAAAAAAATACCTTCCAGGAAACCTTCAAATGATGGCATACGATGGATTCTTTTTTCACTTCAAACGGAATTCAAAACATCATAATTTGAGTGATGACGTCATGCACGACATCTCATTTTGTGCATCGAAGCATCATTTTAATGTGTCAGTCGATGGCATGCAAGTGATCACAATTGAAGGAAATTGGACATTCTTCGAAAGTTTCAATGTCTGGCATTTCCTAGATGAAAGTATGTCACCTCAAAAGGAATAATAAAACCTTGAATTTTCAGATTTCGAAGGTTGTGTTTCTCGGGTACAAACGGGATCAGCTTTTCCACTGAAAAGTCCAAAGACCGCAAGACTTAATTATTCAGGAAAGATCCGCTTTGGGACATGCCCTATAGAGGCAGTGTAAGTCTCCTAAAAATCTTTTCCATTTTCTAAAAATAAATTTCAGATCCCGACAAAAAATGTACGACTTCAGCCCACAGCAGGAGGCGACATCATCCACGATGAAGACTTCGACAGAGGATATAAAAATATTTTCTGTATCTCAAGCTAAACAAGATCTTATGTCGAAAGCAAGTGAGTAAATTCTATGCCTGTGGTTGAAAATAATGGCTTTCTGATTTTTCAATAGTGGTCGGTGGATTTTTCG